AGAGCGTGGTACGGTGCCACCATAAGAAGACTGCGATCGACTTCTTCCATCTGGAGATCTTTGACGACATCGATCGTTTCAACGACTATCTGTGGGGCCGGAGATGTTTTGAGGACACTGTACACGTCTTCACCAGATCGCACTCGAAGTTGAAGGAAGCCATGAGTAAGTACGACACCCATGGATTGCCCTTGGCGGTACAGGTAAATAGTTAACATAATGAATGTTAAAATTATTTTCATATTGAATTTATATATAATAATTGTATGTGTTGCAGATCTGGGCGTATGAGACCGTCCACATATTGGGTGCCCGCTTTGCTAGGCGAAAGGAGACATGTTGTCCTCGGATGCACCATTGGAGAGCATCTCAATCGGAGGGACGTCCCACTGGGAAACAGTTATCGGCTATCATCGACGACCCTCAGGTGAGTATTATGCATTTGTAATTTAAATTGTATGTGATTTAACATCTGATTGCATAATCGTTAACTAGTTCAAAAGTTAATATGTCAGTTTGAAGTCATAACTGAGTTGATGCCGTCGATGGAGGAGGTTTGTACGTGAATTAGGCGTTTCGCACACCCAAGACGACCAGATGTCCGATCCGATCCACGATCGAGATTGGGTGAGCGAATTGAATAAAATCTATTAATTACCATTTTGTATGAGTTAGCAATTACGGATTAAGTTAATAATTTGTAATGTTATTGCTTGTGTAGAAGCGTGATCCAGTTGATCAACGATCACCTCCGTCGAGGGCATCACCACCTCCGCCGAGGGCATTTCCTCCTCCGCCGTCGAGGGCATCTCCTTCTCCTCTCCCGTCCAGAGATCTTTCACGTGGATCTCCCGCACGTAGTCAGGGACACTATTTTGATGATCTGTACGCCCGTCTGAGCAGATTTATAGCGGGGCAGGTCAACAGGCTGCGTCGAGAGATGATAGAGAGGGTTGATGATCTGGGACGACAGTTGGTAGGAAGGGTCGAAAGTTTGTCGAATAAGATTGCAGCACTTCGAGGTGATATAGCCAGTAGGCGATGGGTTGACGGAGACAGTGATCGAGGGGGTGATCGAGAGGGTGATAGGGATGGGGGTCTCTGGCAGTCATACATACATGATGATGATGCACGAGAATAATTTATTTTATTCGTGGAGCACAATGGGATGGGAGCAGTGGCAGAGGAGGGGAGCCCATCGGGGAGGGAGACGGTAGCAAATGAAGGAGTGGCCCCTTCAGGGACGAAGACAGTGGCAGATGAGGGGATGGAGGAGGTGGCAGTGTATAAGGCAAAAAAGTGTACTGTTGACATGCCGGAGACGGTGGTCGACAAGAGTTTGAGAGTGCCGTCACAGTACGTCGTCTCTTTCTTCACCGCTGAGGCGAAGAGGAGGAGGTTCGTCGATGGGATGTACCCCAATCTGTTACGGGAGGTCGACTATGTCAAATGGAAAGCATTCGAGGCTGAGTGGCGAAAAATGTTGCTGGGGTAAGTATTGTATGATTTAGTGTTCCCTAATTCGACGATATATGTGTACGACCCCGATCATTCATGTCTGACACAGGGACAGTTCGAGCAAAACTTAGAGCCGATAATTGTGATAGTTCTTATGACGACTAGACATGCGGGCTTGACTGTGGAAGACAAACTAGCCATCGTGCGGGACATGATGACGGCGAGACAGTCTATATCGTAAGTCTTTGTAATTTTTTTTTTTAATTTAGTAATCAGTTCGTTTGTAATTGGAACCGAACTAACACATATTTGTTCATTTGCAGGGGTGACTGTGGGATTTTCGCAATCAAATATATAGAATTTTTGAATATAACACAAAGTTGATGGAATCAACCAATTGACGAAATAAGTTAGCGTGTGATTTATACGAATTTAATTGTGATCCATAAATTATTTATAAATATTTTTTGTAATTAATATTTGTAATTATTTTTTGCGATTATTTGTAACTATTTTTCGCAATTGTTTGTAATTATTCATGTAAATACTGTTTATTTCAATGTAAATACTATTTATTTCAATGGAAATACACAATGCTCTAACTGTCATTTAGGGGAACCTGACTTGTACAAAATTGGCGAGTATGTCCTACTGATTTGCACCTGCTACATCTAGGCGGTTGGGAAAACTCTCCAGTAGATGGTATTTTAGAAGTACTTGGACGTCCAGGACCACGTGGTTCAATGAGAGGTGGCGACAATGTATTGAATGAGCGAATATTATAAGGAACTTCCCACTCAGCTTGGTTTGGAAGTGGAAATATGGTTTCAACATACGCAGCTCTCTAGTTTTCAGTAGTGTAATAAGGAGAGCACAATGTTCTCGCTGCAAATCCTCGACACATAGCCACCGCAACTGCATGCTCACATGGAAAACTCTCTAACTGAAATTGTTTACAAGTGCATGTTCCATCACTTAAATCTACCATGTATGCCGTATGACGTGCATATTCCACAGAGAAGCGCGACTCGTCTAGTGGTTCGACATTTAACTTTCTCGCAGCCTTGAAGAGCTTTACCTCTTATGTTGGGGTTAGCACGCTTGTGCAATTATGTGATTCTGCACGTCGATCGTGAAATCACTGCTGCAGCTTCGAACGGATATTCTCAATCAGTGCGAGAATGGGTAACTCTCGATCACTCTTAAATAATGCATTGAGAGATTCCGCATTGTTTGACATCATCATGTTGTATCGATGTCCTGAAAAATATAAGCGCGCCCAATGTTCAATCCCCATTTTCGTTATATAGTCCTATGTCGGAAATGATTTGCTTCCTATTTCAACCATGTACAGTACCTATTACACTTTTCAATACTGTAAGCTTCGGCCTCTTTTTTAAACAATGAAACAATGTCTTTGCCTCGATACCTGGTCTTCAAGTTGCCTTGTATATGGTACATGTAATACCCATGATGTGCATCGGGAAAAATTTCAGCAATACCATTTATTATAGACTGTCCCTAGTCGGTGACAAATGCAAGGCCCTCAACTTTTCCGATTACTTCCCCGAGCTTTGTGAATAACCAACGCATCGACCGATCATTTTCATTATCAACTATGCCGAATGTAAAATGATAAATTTGAATGTTGGCATGTTGACATGTAGTAATAATCAACTTGCCTTGATATTTGAATTTCAGAGTTGTACTGTCGACTAGAATTAGGGATCCCATTATATTTCGAAATCCCTGAATGCATTGTCCAAGAGCCATGAAGAAGAATTTGAAGCAGTTATCGGCCTCCGTCTCAATAAAAAATGTCGAGCCAGGATTAGTTTTCTCCATGTTATGGCAATACCTGGCCAATTTAGCACAGCTTTCCTCTGTCGAGTCCATTAAATCCTCCAACGCTCATTCTTTGGCCTTCTAGGCCTTCTGGTAGCTCATGACTACTCCGTACTCTCGACGAACATCGTTAATGATATTCGATGGTCTGTAGATTGTCCGTGGATCATGATATTTGTGCATTATCTGTCGACCAATAAACCAAGCTCGGGTTTGCCTATGATCATTACGACAAACTCCCACTTCACAAGTATGTTCTCGTGTATATTTGTGAATTATGAAGCACTTATTCGTGTCCATCTTCATTGCTCACAAACGCCAACTGCAGCTATCATCTAAGCATGATAGCGTCAACAACGACCTATTCGATTTTTTCACTCTAAACTCGAAGTTGTATTTCAGTGCAATTAGGTGCGAGGTTTCTTGCAAATCTTTATTCATTTCAAACAGTTGCTCGACATACAAATCCTCATTATCAGGAACCATACGTGAGGAGTTAGAGGACGGTCCACTCGATCTAGCCCCCGAGGTCACACCCCACTCATGTCTCTGTCGGGATAAAGAATCAAGTCCTCGTTTGTAAAAGTATTTGCATTTTCATTCTCGTTGTCACGAGCAGCGGAGGGGATTTCGTGAGCAGCTATCTCTAGATTAACCACATCATCTTCACAAGCTATCTCCACCGTATCCCAAAAATCATTAGCATTGTGATCCCCACCTCCCGAGTCTACTTGCTCATCTTCGACGACATCCTTCCTTACTAAAGTCACGCAAAGAGGAGTCGTGTGCTTATTCAATTAGATAATTCACTTCATCAACAGAAGAAATCATTATAGGTGGAATCGGAACTGATGCATGCTCGTTGAATTTAAATTTCAATTCCATGTTGTATTGAGAAGGATCAACATTCAACTTGTTCTGTAAATCATTATAAAGTTCTGCATACGATGTATTTGATGATATGGAAATTGCGATACCACCACGTTTAGCACTTGTCAATTTCCATACCCATTGATTTCTTTCGTCCAATTCGAAATCACCAAAGTAACAAATTGGGACTACAACCATATCTGCATGTCGAAATAGAATTTTTAATTACAAGAAAAATATCAACAACAATAAAAATAACCCAAAAAAGGGGGAAAAAAGAAAACAGTTGACAAACAGCCGACTGTTTAAACCGCTGGTCAAACAGTTGGCCAAAATGGCCGACTGTATTGCAGGTTGTTTAGCCGGTCAAATAGTAGATTCACCGACGTTGGCATTTATGCAGATGAATTTTTTCTGGTCAAATACTTAAAAAATTACAGATCTATTAAATTTTTTTATCTACTAATCATTAAATGCCGAAATACAATTTATCGATTTAAACATACAATAAGTTAACGAAAGCAAGATTAAATTTGCGTATATAAATTTACCGAATTGATGAGATTAATGTTCACAAATTTTTTGACTTTCGATTTCGATAAATATTTCAATTTCTGCGGTTGAAACAGATGAAGGATGAGAGTGTTTTATTTATCTGTATTGGAATAAACAGATAAGAAATATAGGTAGTGTTTGATTTTTATTTATTAAGTGAAAAGGTATTGACGTCTTTTAAAAAAATCAATTTTTATAATTGTATAATGTATTTAAGAATATTTTTATCTTTTAATATTGAATTCTTGCTTTCTTGCGTGGATGATTTTTCAATTTTAGAAGTACCCCATCATAGTCACTTCGATCCGACACACTCATCCATCCCAATGGACGCACAGGAAGATTCCGCCTCCCCCTCCAGTACAACGTCCTCCTTCGACGACAATCACCAAACGCGGCGGAGAATATGCGCCAGTGGATGTGATAGGCCCGTGAACGTGTGCTTATGCCACACCCTCCCACGCTACCCTCTTCCAACCTCCACAAAAATAGTGATCCTGCATCACCCTCACGAGCGCCGCCACAAGCTCGCCACTGTCCCTCTCCTTTCTAAATGCCTCAGAAACTGCGAAATCGTCGTCGGACGCAAATTGAAGTACGGGGACTCGAAGCTTCTCGATTCTCTATACGATCAGGCCTGCGGAAACCCCAATTGGCCCCGCTGGCGATTTCTTTACCTGTTCCCTGGTATGATTACTTTTGCCTGGAAGTGTAGGAAAATCAAGTGTTCCCACCTTATTAACGTGTTTAAAATTTCAGTTTTGAGTATTTTGAAATTGGGTGCAATTCAATAAACTTTTCTGAAGTAATTACACGGCCCACTAAAATAATCTGGTGGGAGCATTCGTTTCAGCAAGTGTTTGTTGAGTTTGGTTGGCATAGGTTTATGCTATCATGGAAAATGGAGATTAGAAACAAATATAGAACACTAATCTAGAACTTGTATTCAGGGATTAGAAAAATGTTTACTTTTCTGTTGTTCACATGTTAAGCCCTTGTTTGAGCCACATTATTTTTATAAAAATGCATTTTTGAATAGTGTGACGATGGAAATGTAAAAATTTTGAATTAGCATGGAACATTATTTTATCAAAGAATGTGTGATTAAAATGACGTCAAATCACTACGTAAGAATGTATTTTTTTCAAATAATGTGGATCAAACAGGTGGTAAATTTCCAATGGAGTAAAGAATATATTGCTAGAACACTATGATAGGAAGAATTAGAATTAGTGGACTATCTGGTTCTTATGGACTTTTTTATGAATTAAGATCCTGTCCTGTTCCATTGTACTAACTTTAAAGGTTGTTGAGCATCTAGTCGTTAAGTGTTTTTTAATTTATTTTGTTTTTAAATTTGGGCTGGTATTCTGATCCAGCACTGGATTAAAAGTAACCGAAAAATAATTGTATAGGCATTGCATTTGAGATGAATAATGCTATCCATCATCACTCGTCTAGGTGGTAGTAGGTCTCTTGATTCATTAAAATACATCACAACTCAATTGGATAATGAATCAAGGGTCCACTATCACCTAGACCGGTGATAATCACCACGGGAGATGAATAGCATTACTCATTTGAGATTGTTTATACTTGATGTCTTATAAGTTACACGTAAGTGACGAAATTTATGTTAAGTTGAGGAACTAATTTTACACTGGTCTTGCTATCTACAAGGTCTCATGGAATGTTAATCCAGGACTTAAGTAATAGCAAAATGGTTATATAAGCACTGCATCTTGATATTGCTTATACTTGATCATCTATTGATTTACATGACCAAAGGAACCAAATTTATTGCAAGTAGGACATTGTTTTTATGCGCGCGCACGCACGCACAGAGACATTTAAGCATTTCTCTTGGCAATTGACTTGGTCATAAAATGACTATTCACGATGAATCCCATAGCTTCTACTGTCATCATCTTGCAGGCTGGGTCATGACTAACGTCTGAAGTCCCACAATTAGGGCTGAAAATTGATCAAGATTTATTTTTTTGATATTGATTTGCTGACCAGTTAGAGTTTCTATTTATTGAGTTCTGGCTTAAGAAGATAAATAGATAGAAGTTGTGTAGAAACTCATATTTGGCTTGATTACATGTTTAAGATTGTTTATGAATGAACCAAAACAAGTTCAAGCTCAATGATAACCTCCTCCGAAAACGAGGCCAGGTTTGAATGATTTTTTCGACTTGGGCATAGGAAAATGAATCTTCAAAAAAGCTTCTATGGAGTTGAGGTACCCTATCAATTGAATTCCAAGCCATAAGCTTCCACAAAGTTGAGTGACTCCTATTGATGAATACTAAGACACAAAATATAAATGCCGAACTTCACGATCAGTTTGGTGAAAAATCCTGGAGAAAAGCATCTATAAGTACCATAGAATTTTAATGCACCTTGTACAATTAACCTATTGCTAATTCTCATTACTCTGTTGTGTAGATAAAGAACCTTTTTAATTCCACTATGGAAGTAGTGTTGATTCTCCTTGACCTTGGATGTTAATTTTAAGTGAAAGGATGTGAATGCATGGACTTATTGCATGATTGTCCTTGACCTCGATTGCATATTTTTATTGTTAAGGATGTGAAGAAATGATCTTAAGGGTGCCACAAAAATGTTAATGGCCATGGTCAGATGATAAAGATGGGATCTCTTTGAATCATGAAGACCCTCCCTGGTAATATATTTTCCGGTGGACTACCCAAAACATCTACTACTTATTTAGGTGGCATGGGCTTTTAGAGGAAAAGAAAAATGCTCAGGGGGCTAGCTTAATACACCATATATAAGTTGGCAAACCCATATTTTTGTATTTGTACCCGTGGCATTTGTAAAAATATTTTATGAGTGATCTGGGGTTTTCAGGTTTAGAAGCATTACCATTAGCCGAAATCAAGAAGAGGAAGTCCTCTCTTGATGATGACGACATGAATGGTCATGTGTTGGTTGCTTTTGATGGAACTTGGAAGCATGCAAAGGAGATGGTGCTCGCGAGTTTACCCTTTTTATCCAAGTTTTCTCTTCAAGTTTGTTTAAATTTTGACCCCGCAGTTGATGGTGGGACTATTTATGATTCAGACTTGATTCTAAGAAAGGAACCATTTGATGGATGTATGAGTACAATGGAAGCTGTCGCGAGGTCTTTACGTGTTCTTGACCCTAATGGAATTGAGATCGAGTCTAGAATAATTGATGTTTTAAGAGCTATGGTTGGTTTTCAATCTTGTTTCTTGAAGCCCACAAAGCCAAGAATGAAGTTGAAAAAGGCTAAAGGATGAGAAGTGAAATACAGACTCTGGTACCGCGTGATTGAACTTTCGTGCATGATTACTAGTTAGTTCCCAAATTAATCGTAATGGACAGAAAACCTTTCTGGATATCGTATTAATTGAAATGTACTTTCCATCGAAAGCAGGGGGCATGAACTTACTGCGTGCACAGTGTTTGACGGTTCTTTTTAACAATGTGAATGAGTTGTGATTCTTGTGAAAATGATGTATACAGGTAACAATAGCCAGAAAGAAAAAGGTTGGCAGATAGTGGTCTTTTATCAGAAAGGCCCTGCTGCAGTTCTATGCTTATTGCAAAATCGATACAAACCTGTATTATGGGTTTCATTTATTGCAAAGGTAAATTCCATTAAAGTCCGCTATTTTCATAATTTGTGTCACGGGGGATTTGGTAAAGCCAGCTCCCAACCGCGAACAATTACATTTTCCTTTGCATTAAGCTGAGACGAGTTGGCAGATGTGACTCCCACTTTACAGGATAGAGTAGTTCGGTTGTCTTGTTATTACGAAGATAGTTACTAAAAGTAGATGTAAACAAGAAGTGGCTATTCTTTTAACTCGAAATGATAAGTTTCAAAACCTAGTATATATGTATTATTGAACTTGTATTCCTGCAAGATGTCTAAATATTAGTAGGTAATACTGTTATAAGAGTTGAACTAGTCGGTTTGACTGAAAAATTGGGAATCGATATCAAAGGCAATATAGGTATTAGCAAGCCATTGTATTTTTTTTAATTTCGTCAAAAGGAAAATTCTTATCGACTAGTTTCTCTCTACAAAAATGCATTTATTTTATTTGATTATTATTATTATTTTTTTTTTTTGAAAGGCAATGTGTGCAAAGAAAAGGTGTAATAAAAAGAATACAATGGATCCAACTTCTATTAGTCGGGGAAGAAGTAGCGAAGGAAGTAAGATTGTTGGCCACTTGATTCCTAGTACGAGGTAACAAAGCAAAATAACCAAGTGAAATAACACTTATATATTTATTATTTTTTTCTTAATCGACGGTCAGTTGGTCCCTTTCACCTAAAATTTTAGGATTGATGCATGATTTTTAAGACAATTATGAGTAAGCCAAAGCCTTATCCTTATGTTAAAGGAATTCAAGAACAAGGGTCAATTTTCACCACTAAATTGAGCCAAAAGCCAGAACAACAATAGGGATGACATAATGTTTTACTTTTCACGTTCCGACCCTTTTTTATTTATTTATATTATTTTTATATATTTAAATTTAAATCGTATTCATAAAAGCGTAAATGAGACGAGAAATGATGATATTTTAATTCGTGCTAAACCATAAAAAGAAAGGAAGTGGGTTAAAATGAATGGTTTACCATTTTTTTTAACGACTTGAAATAACAAATTGAACCATTTCAAGATGAAATGTGAAAATAGTAGTAGAGTCAAGCTTTGACTTCTGTTTGCATCTTGGTCCCATTATTTCACTTTAGTATCACTTGGGTCCCCGCTTACAATTTTCACCTTGTTGCCATTCCTTAGGAGAAGATTTCATTGTGAATTCCAGCTCTCTTCAAGTCGATCTTGATGAAATTCAACTCATTACTAAGAGGAAGTCCAACATATAAGAGGACGTTAATTTGACATATAAGTACTTTTTCTTGATTTGTTCATTTTCTTTTGAATCTTAAAGTCGTTATGCTTCTTGTTTCAATTTTTCATATTTTCATTGAAGTGACTTCAACTAGAATTGGTTCCTATTTGGTCTCAATTAGATGTGGTGGCTTCTTCCTTTTGTTGTTGTAGTATCCTTTTTGAGATTTTTTGGCATTGCATCACTTCTTCGAACTTTCTTTATGATTTCTAATAAATTTTTCACTCATTTTCATGTTTTTAAAAAAATAAACAAAATTAAATAATAAAGAAAAGAACTATTCTTCTTCACTCCATTCCCACTTTATCTCAACTCCTTTCGAAACTGCTAAAACTATTGACAATCATCGTTGATCATTTTAACGTACGTTGGGAAAAGAAAAATATTTTTTTATTGTTGTTTTTTAATTTATTGAAGACAATGATTAAAACTGTAGAACTGTCTTTTTATTATGAGGATGTAAATGCTCCATTTTGAAGAATTGGGACCAAGGTGAAACCTGTGTCAAATTTTCAGGACCTTGTTTGCTATTATTCCTTTCTAAAATAATCATTTCCAATAAACTGGGATAAAAATAATTATGTATAAATATTTAAAAAGGAGAAAAATCCCAGAAAATTCGGCCGAAGAAAGAAAAAGAAATCGCACTACTAGTCCCTAACTTATATGTCTAGTAAAACGTTGGTCTTCAACTTCATAATAAGCAAATTAGTCTCCAACATATTGTTATAAGTTTATTATATAATCAATTCTCAATGATAAAATCGTATGATTTTTGTTTAATTATGATGTGATGTTCACATGTCTAACCTTATGAAGTTAGGTTCTATACAACAATTTAGACTAGTACTTAAAAATTTGACGAAAATATGGGCAGTATTTAAATTGATGGATCCTGTAACTATAATGAAAGGTTGAAAATTAACTTATTCTTTTTTAAACATCAAGGACTAACTTGTTAATGAAACAATAGTTGAGGGATTGCAATTTTCCAAAAAGGCAAAACCCAGCATGGGTGGTGCCGCCGTCACCGGATCCCAGCCAAATACTCATTTTTCTATATCCAGTAATCCAACTCATCACAACAAAACGCATTATTCACCTCCTTTTCGTCTCTCTCTCTATACATTCGCATATCCACATGTGGATCCACATATTTGTGTATATACTTGGATACTCTCTCTGAAAAATAGTTGTAAAAAACTTTATGTTTGTGCCATTTTTTAGGGGGAAATGTATTTTGAAATAGTAGATTGACAAAGAATGTGTGGTTAAAAATAAAGAAATTTTTTGAATTGTTGTGTAATATTATTTTATTAAAAAAGATTTGATTAAAAGGACGAAGAAAAATATATTTAGAGTATAACGAGATGTTCTGAAAATAAAAGCAAACCATCCCATTACATTTACATCATTCAATCCTCTTTTTCGCTTAAATTTCTTC